AGGAACCTTTATTTCATACATTCCAAAGAGATACTGCAGCCATTAGAATCTTCTGAGGAGTCCTATTAGAATTGCCTGTGATGTGAATTACTTCAGACAGCATCCTACCTGTCAGGCCTCTGCTGATGTGCTACCAAAGGAGGTTGTGAAAAGTAGCATCTAGCATTGCTCAAATATCTACAACAGGTCATTCGACAAGAAATGCGTTCAATTCATCAGTCATTAAGTTCATTAATATTGATGTGAGCTCACTTCTCATTACAAATAGATGAATGAAATACAGAATATTGAATAAAACATTTCTCACAGAGAAACGGGTTGATGAACTTACAGCTTGCAGGAATACAGTGAACTTTACTTGTACTGAAAGAATTTCTTTTTTGGGGTCACAGCAGGAGCGCTGGATGTTCCAGGCAACAGTATGATCTTGGTTTAAATATGCAGGTAGTGATCAATACAAGTTTGGGTGTTAGGTCATGGTTACAACAGCATCTGATTTTCCTGTGCTTCTAACATGTCTAGGAAGTGTTTTATTTTTAATTTTTCTTTGTGCTCAAGAAAAAGTCAAATCTGCTACTCCTCTTTGCCTTCTTGCTTTTTCCCCTCTTCTCCATTTCGTAGTCTTCACTGATATTTGAATCTTTTCTGTCCAGACAGAAAGGAAGAAAAAAAAAAAAACAAACACAAAAAACATCAGGGTTTTTGTCTAGACAGGTGATCTTTACTCTTCCTGAAGACAGTTATTTAAAGCAGAGTGTTAGAACAACGTTTATCAGTGTTATTTGCGCTATACAGCCAGAGAGTCTCTCACCTTTCACTTAGGACTGGAGTAAAATACGGCCCCATCCATGAGTGTTTATAGTCTGATTTAAAATCTTCACAGTAATGTTGTAAAATGCGTCTTCCCTCTGTACGGCCTGGGGCTCCTGCCACCATGTGTCGCCATGCCTTCGGAGGCTTCTGGTTTAAATTCTCCCCTGTGTATGCGAGCTGAGAACTGCTGCCTGGATGCATGGAAAACCAAACGGAGAGCGTGAATGCCATTCTGACTCTGAGCTCTGTCTCATGGTGAACTCATGCCAATACTTAACCATTGCAAAGCTGTGTTTGGGGACTGGTGTGTAAAACAGGCCAGCCTACCTCATCGGAACATTCACCCCATATTGATGGCTTTATTTGAAGGAACCTAAGCAAGGTGGATGGGTATAGCCTGATGACTCTTTCAGCTGAAATTCACAGTGTTGAGTTCTTCTGCATGTACTTGAAAAACAAACTGCTCTTTTTTTTTTTTTTAAATGGAGTAATGCAAATTAAGTGGTTTAGATATACAGGAACTAAAGCAGCTGTTGAGATAGCTTTGATGTTGAACGGCATGAGAAGGCAGCATGGCAAACAAAGCTGTTAGTCTTTCAGTAGCATTAACATTGTGATGAGGGGAACCAAGTTGAAAAGGTGTTGGGGAACAAATAGAAAATTGCAGTATCGCTGTGAACAAGAGAGAAGTATATTTTCAGAGGTTGAAAAAAGAGGAGGTGGGAGAACTGTACATCTGAGGAATATTCTTTAAGAAAAGATGGTAACTATCAGATAGAGGGAAAGGGGCATAAAGGGGGAAAATCAGTTATATTGGTGTATAATGAGAAAGTTACTTGAGAGCTACATTGTGGGCTGATGTGCATCATATGCAACTTACTGAAGTCTAGGATTTCATTAGTCTAAACAAGAGCAAATAGTCTCCTGGTATTGAGACAACTGTATTTGGCTCAGAGACTTACTTGAAGGTTTCTTTTGTATTTGATGAGGAAAGCAGTAGGAGAAGTGGGTCTGGTAGCCTCCTGTGAGGATAGAGATGATTTAACTGTGTGAGGGGATGCTGACTCAGCAGGACAGAAATGTTGTAGGACAAAAAGTTCAGTGATGAGGGCCTTTACAAGTGGCCAGATGAAGGCAAATGAGGCATTCCTAAAGCTGATAGAAAAGAAGAAGGAAAAAAAAAGTCATTAGAGCAGTAGCCAGCAACATAAGAGGAGATTGCAATTTTCTGGTGGCTATTTGGGATAATAAAGTGTCTACTGAGGAACGGGAAAAGATTTCACCTTTTTTAATGAACTGTTTGCTTAAGACAAGTAGAAGGGTTAACACTTTTAGGTCAAATCACCACCTGCTGTAGATTTAACTGAGATTGGCAGAGTGCCACTGCTTCCAAGGAAGTTCTGCAGATTTACACCAGTGCAGGCTTTGGACTCAGCCGTTTTGGTATATATTTTTCTCAAACAAATAGCATGTAGTCAGACAGATGACTTGAAAGTCAGGAAAATGAGCACCAGAATACCAATGTCCTCAACAGAATAATCTGTATCTTGTCTTTCAGAGAAATTTTGGAAAAAAATATAACAAATGAAAATAAAAATGAAAAGAAAAAACTCACCTGCAAAAAAAAAAATAAACCAGAAAAAAGAAAAGAAAAGAAAAAGAAAATAGAGTTAGATATCTGCTTAAAGTTGAAACGGGTTCTGGAGCTGGATCTGCAACCCTGAAAACTGTTACATAAATACAAGTGTAAATCTTAAGGCTAGCATTGGGTGACAGTCCAGTCAGCAGCAGGTGAAAAATCAAAATGAAAGTGCTATGAGCATCAAAGTGAGGCAAAATAATAGCATACATATATCCGGCACTTAACATTTTGAAATTGTATGACCATTTAATAATACAGTAAGCTGCATTGATCTCAGATGCATGGAAAGTAATAAAGGAAATGCTGCATTTCTACAGGCTCCATAGCTATAAGCAAAATATTATTTAGACTGGAGGACAACGTTAAAGAAATGCTGTGACTAAGGAACTATGGGTAATTCAAAATGAGAGGGCACGAGTGTTTTATCTCTGGATTTAATAAAAAAGACATATACACAGAGGTTAGATTGAGCAGCCCTTTGAAAACAAAGTAATTGGTATTTGAAACTGAAATTGAGTTAACTGAAGTGTTTAAGAGAAGATTAGCAAACAAGAGAATATCATAGACTCATAGAATCACAGAATGCCTTGTGCTGGAAGGGACACGTAAGCTCATCCAGTTCCAACTCTCTGCCATGGGCAGGGCCCCCTCCCACTAGTCCAGGCTGCCCAAAGCCCCATCCAGCCTGGCCTTGAACACCCCCAGGGATGGGGCATCCGCAGCTTTTCTGGGCAGCCTGTGCCAGTGCCTCACCACCCTTTGAGTGAAGAATTTCTTCCTAATATCTCATCTAAATCTCCCGTTTTTGTTTAAAGCCATTCCCCTATGTCGTATCTGCCCAAGCAAAAAGTTACACTCCGTGTTTTTTATAAGCCCTTTTTTAAGTATTGCAAAGCTGTGATGAGGTCTCTCCAGAGCCTTCTCTTCTCCAGGTTGAACAGCCCCAGCTCTCTCAGCCTTCCTTCATAGGAGAAGAATATGTCTTTGTGAAGGAAAAATTAAAGACTAAGAATTGTTCTGCAGACATTCTAAGGAAATATAATGGTCGAGAGCAAATACTCAGTGTGTGTTTTCCCCTTCCTGGTGGCCCCCTTGTAGCCCACGGGCTCTGCTCTGCAGGGATCAGAGGTGGCCTGCCAGCAGGCGGAGGGGGAGCTGGGCTGGGCCAGGACTCAGGTTTGGCCTCGCAGCTTAGGGAAAGGGGAAGAAAGTTGGGGTTCAAAAAGGCCACCTGCTGCAGAGACTGTATTATGCCTCATATGGAGCCAATATTAAAAAAATAAATAAAATCCAAACAAAATGTGGTGATAATCCATCTAAATGGTTAGATGTCATTGCTATCTCTGGGGCTAATTCTTTATGTTAAATTAAGCATATGTCCAGAGGGTTTCTTGGGTACAGTCAAACTTCATTTGCTCTCAAAAAAGGCAAACGGAAGAAAAGTCATCGTGATCCACAGTGCTTGGTTCTGATGCAGGATCTGATGTTATTTCTTGACTTCATTGGCAGGGAAGAAGGCAGGGCTCAAGTTCTCAGTACAGAGACTGTGATAGAGCGCTGTGCTTTGTGGTGCATTTGTACGTTCATAGCCTTAGACAAATTTATTTTTGTAGATGCCATATGTGAGGGCTTTTCATAATTGCCATCTGTGGAATGGAAGGCAATTCAGGCAAAAATGTGCACAGTTGCAAATATTAGAAAATATGGTTATTATAAAAAGTCACGAGAACTTGATGCAAATGCTCCAGCTACAATAGAAGGGCCAGATTCTAATAGCACGCATGATGCACAGTGACAGATTTTTCTTAGGTGTGTTGGGATGCTCATGCTGCGCCTGAGATTAGAATCTGTCCCAAAAATGGATTATTGGGATATGAAAGAACCAACGATGAGGAAAATCAAATTCTACTGAATTTTTCCTCACCCTTAATATGTGAAATTTGGCTTTTGACATAGTTCTTAATCTTGGCAGTTTATTAGGAAAATTAGCAATGAAAAGAATAAGAATATAAATAATCCTTTCTCTCCATAAGAATTATATCATTGAAGTGAGATAAAGATGTGATCTGTCCACAACTAGTTGCCCCGAGCAGCTCGCAATTTATTTTTTTTTATATTTAAATATTACATGAAGCTAACAGTGATGGCATTACCAGAGGGATTTCCCTGAGCAGGGGGTTACCTGAGGTGTTGGTAGTGGTAGAGTACTGTTGCATGGAGGCGGCATGCAGGCTAATCTACTCTGCAAGTCCTATAATCACAGGCAGTAACTTCATTTATTTAAATCCCAAGCTGTATCCTTTTCATTTCCCCCCATATTCAGATACCATTTTTTACTCTTGTCAATTTGGGGAGGAGATAAGTGGGAGCTGGATAGAAGCCATAATTATGCTGGGGCAATCACCCTGCAGCATTCATTTGTATGTAAAATCTTGCCCGGCAGCAGTTTGACAGCTCCACAAGGCTGTGAAGCAAAAGGCTACAGAGCTTCTCTACTTCTTAAATGATGTATTTATGGCCCTTCTCTCTTGTCTTCAATTCACAGTGGCCCAGATTGAGCAAAGGAAGCTGGTATGGAAATTCCATTCTCTTCTCCAGAGTAACCTGTCACCAGCCAGGTAAGAAGCTCCCCTTAGAGATGAGAGATTTGATTTTCAGATGTCATGGGATGATGAGGGGTGCAGTGAACACAGCTCCTGTGCACAGTGCCCCGGGCGAGAACTGAAGTCCCCAGAGCACTCCAGTTAGAAAGCCCCTTCTTCAGACTTCTTTGTGGTTGAAAAGCAGTTGCACCAGGGTTTCCATGATTTTGGGTTACAAGATTTTTTTTGGAATGTTGTTTAGAGTGTGAGTGATTTGAAGTGCACAGTGTTCCTAATGACGTCCATGAAAATCACAGTATTGATTGGTTCTGAAAATGAGTCCCCTTTAACTAAATGGCCAGATACTAAGTAAAGGACCAAAGCCTTTGAAGAATGAGTGTTTTGTAGGGTTATGATATACCCCTTTTGTTGTGTCTGAGCTGCACAGTTTTTCATTCAACACAACAGGATCCTTAATTTATTGCAACCAAAGGACTACTAATGCAGACAAATTCTAATCATAGATTCAGGATTTTAACAATGGCTAAAATCACAGAAATGGTCAATGTGAATGTTTTTCTAATCTACAACTTCTCAGTGATTTCTGAGAGCAATACCCTTGTGCTAGTCATGCTTCTGAGACCAGCTATAAATCTTTACGCTCACAAGTGAAGCAGTAAAATTTCAATGGCAAAATGTTTGTCATGTTAAAAATGTGAAAAATATGCCACTGTTCAGGGACAGGAAAGTATCATGGGAAATACTGTTAAGACTAACTGTGAATATACAGTAAACATGTGAAAGTGCACATAGTTTTAAGATGTTATATTTTATCAAGACTTTGCTTCTCAAGCGTTGTTTTAACTAGCCGTCTCTCTTCAAATATTTGGAAAATACAAGGATTTCATTCTTTATCTATAAACTATATGAATCTAAATATGAGCCAATTGGTGTTGAATAAGCTACTTTTTAGGCTTAAGGTATGCTTTTGCATGAAAAGGTTTGAGCCAAAGAATTATGTATTTTTACTTCTCTCTATATTAATCTAAATCCCCAAACCTCATTTTTTTTCTTTAAAAGCATAGTGGTTTTCATTAGAAATATTGTGGAATATATCTTTAGGTATAGGTTTTAAGCTACATCTTCAACAAACAAGTCAAGCTACACAGGATACCGTATCATGTGAGACTTGAATGCTTTGTATTACCAAGAAGTATGTTCTACATCTCACCATTTCCTTTCCAGTTCTAGTTTTCCACAAGGACAACAAGAATGTAAGAAGTGATAATCACTGCTATCATTATAATCAGCTGTATTTACTGGTATGAGCAGTTGTAGCAGAGCTTACCTCATTGAGACACTGAGACGTAGGTCTAGATCGAATTGATATGCCTTGACAGCCTGTCTCTCTTTGAAATGAAAAGGTGGGGGTGTTTCTGAGGGAATGTCTTCCAAAACAAGAGATGTTTTCCATAGAAACCTTCTAGAGAAAGGAAAAGTATAAATGAACCCAAGTCACAAATCTCTGCAAGTTGCATGGTATATTATAGCCCAGTTTAACATACAAATTAAAAAGGCCAAGTCAGTCCTACCAGTTGAAGTTACGTGTTATTATGGGCCTTATTCATTTGCATATTTTACACTTAGCTCAATTAAGCACACTTACCCTTTCCAGGAAAACACTCAGCTAAGCCAAAGCCTTTGTAATTGCAATTCCCAGGAAGGCCAGACCTTTCCTGTGGTGTGCAGTTCTGTGTGAGGTGGCTGTGGCAGGTTGCCCCATGTGAAGTCGTTGAGGGTTGGTAGGTCACATTGTTTTGACTGGGAGTACAATGGGAAGCTGCTCAGGTGAGTGAGTCGTGCAGGATGTGCTCCAGCAGGGTGTGTTCAAATCATTTATCATGCTTGGCTCCTTCCATACGAGTGGATTCTGTTGGCAAGATTTCCTGTTTTGTTTCTTGTTTGACATCTTGATTTAGTCAGTCACTGGGATGAATTGTGTGAGAAATACTGTAATGTAAATTTTTGCAAAATGCAGTTGGTAGTCTCAATTTTGGGCCTCCAAACTGCTTTCTTACAAAAAAAAAAATCAAGTTTCCATTTCCTTTTTTTCCCTTATTTATTTATTTTATTGTTCAGTTAATGTAATTTACATTCACTTATACATCATTTTCCTGTATATGTATTTGTTTAAAATAAGCATATAATTGAAGGAAAAGAAATACTTAAGAAAAAAAAGTTAAGAAAAATTTTTGTTCAAGAAAAAAATAATTTGTGCATTTAGTCAAAGTTCCTACAGAAAACAGTTATCTACATAAATTTAACACAGGACATGTTTTCTCAATTTTTCATTAGGCTAAACAGCAAGTATAGTTTCATATTGCTGTTGATTTCTCTTACATAGCAGATGTAAGAGAATGTGCAAGTGTTTTGTAAAAATAAATGCAGTACATAGAAGAAAGTCAAAGATGTAATGGCCTCTTTGGAACTCTTAGCAATTTTAAAAGACAATTGTGTGGGTTTCTTCTTCTTTTCTAATTTTCTGCATTTCTTCATATGCTTTGTTGGTGTCAACATGCACAGGGCATAGCCTAGGTTTGTATAGAGGACAGCAGAGAAGAGCTGGAATTGATGTGCAGAGCAGTGGAGATGGTTGAAGTCTTCATGTGGGACTGAAGGACACAATGCTAACCCCAAAAGATCTGCCTGTTGCAGTGCTTCATCACAACAGTGGTCTGTTAGGCACTGCTGCCTTGGTTTCAAAGTGTTCACCTGGTCACCACCTGTGGAAAATGGACTTGAATGCAAGGGCAGAATAAATCTTTCTATTTTCTTTCCTTTCTCTTCAATAGGTGTGAAATCATGTAAATGTCACTCCTCTGTCTGTGTTATTTCTTGAAAATGTCACCAGTGCCTGTGGAAGTCATTGTACCTCGGTGCTGCAGAAGCTGTTCTTGGGCCCTGTTTCAACGTGCATGTACAGGGCACCAATTTCTGCTTTCATAGTGGAATCACTTCAGAGAAACTTAAATGAAACCAAATCATGGGCTCTCCTTCCAAGCTGAGAACAAAATAATTTTTCTTTTACTGCTGATTTGGTGCCAAATACTGCATACCAGATTTGTGGTATAAAGTCCAGGGCAAACTGGGAGGAAAAAGAAGAGAAGCTGATGTTAGGTGATATTTTTCTAAAGTTTACCAATGACAGAAAACATTAGTGTGGGAAAATATTCTCCCACCGGATTCTTTTGTCTGACAGGGAAGGAAGCAGCCAGGCCTTTTCTCTCCTCATATTCTGCTTGTTGCAAAATGAGTTGTGTGTGTTAGTGGACTACAGCTGGAGTTGTGTTGCATTTTACTCATTCCAGTGACTTTGGCTGAGTCAGAAGTTGACTTTCATTTTCACCTCAGTGATCCCACCTTTGTACCTGGCCGTCTGATTTCAAGTCAGTGCCACAGTGTAAGAGTGAAGAACATTCCCCTTCAGCTGGACTCTCTGTGCCTGGAGGGAGAGCTTCAAGCAGAGTTTCCCATGGTAGTGTGGAGAAACGGGGTTGTTACTGAAGCGCCCTAAAGGTAAGGCCTTGCAGCCACTGCTAAAAATAGAAGCTGCTTTTCTGTGGGGGTGCTACATGATTCTCCTGTCAATTTGCAAATGCTTTGCCTTTGGCATTTCTCTAATTTACCACACAATTCTACACTGGTATATTGTGACAAATAATTGGTACCTGTTTTTTACCCATTTGAGGCTGGAGCCAGCTTCCTCTGGGGGCTGACTAGCTGAAAACAAGCAACCTCCCTCTGGCAGTAGACTCTTAGAAGCAGCAATTAGATAAACCTTCCGATGATGGCTTCATTAGTGCCAACGTTTTTGAAGCCAGGGTGGGAACTTGTGTGGTTGAGGGAGGAAGCAGAACTGCAGTGAGGGAGCTGGCTCTTGCTTGCAGCAGTCACTACTTACTTGTCCCATCCCACCACCACCAGCAGGGTCTTTTCCAGGGCTGCCATCCTCTCCTGCTCCTTCGCTCCCCTGTTGTGTTTTGCTTCTCATCTTCAGGGCAGGAGACTCAGTTTTCTCTGCACTGCCAGGCAGCATGCAGCTGGCTCTGTCAGCTGTCTTCTCTCTACATCTAAGCCCCTTCAGCAGCAACTCAGACAGCTTCAGCCTCTCAGGATGTCTGTGTGTGGTGCTGGAGCTTTGGAGTCTCCTGAAGTGAGGCAACATTCCCCATCAGGTCTTGTGGCTTGGTGCTGAAGCATGTTCATGGCAGATGGAATCTGTAGGGAGTTGAGATAACAAATTTCTACTAAAAAAAGCTTGCTGCTTTGTTAAAAGCAGCTCTCTGGTATGAGTAACCCAAGTATCTGGCCTGCCATGTTTCAAACTTTTCCTCTATTTCACAGTGATTTTGAGTGTCACACAATTGCTGGAATTAGATTATTTTAACAGGAAAAAACGTTTTGTCTTTATTTTTTACTTCAAGCTGGCTAAGACTTTTTTTTTTTTTTTTTAACCTTCCCCTTAAATTCAGATGGGGCATGTCCTTGTGTTTATAAACAGCTAGACATAAGTTTTTAACAAGAAGCATTAGACCAGCATAATTTTATCTTGGGAAAGAAGTATTGTTTTCCATTTAAAAGAAAGAAAATACTGGAAAGTGAATCCTGGGGACATTAAGTCATTAGTAAGGAAAAACTCTATTGAAATCAAACTCATAGGGATTGGCCAGACAGCAAAGTGCATATCCATTGCTGTAGAAAAAATTTTTCAGGCTAACACAAATTTATTGAAAATATCTGGTCCTATAATTAACATACGGAGTACTTACCATCTTTGCTTGTTCAGAATGCGAGACTTCCATTACAACATGAACAGAAGGTATTGTGATGTGCAAAAGTTCAACCAGGACTAAAGAGAGAACTAAAGTGGTTTAACATTTGTGACAGTATGATGAGAACATAGCTGGTTCAGTTCCTCTTACTTTTTCTTGTATCTTCATATTATTCTTTTTATCTCAAACATTTGACTCCTTTTA